TTCTTGCTTGAGTTGTACATAAAGCAGAGAACTGAAAAATGTCCCTCAGCAATTCCATGGATTAGATGACATTTTCTAATCTCTAAAGAGTATAATTCCACAGGTTATTTTGAAGTCAAGGGTCTTTGCGAAGCCAAAATAATTACGACCCCCCTAGCCAAAGCCAAAAAGCAGATATATTTTCCCCATTTTTTGCGTTAAAGTTCCAAAAATAATAAAAGAATCAAAGCAGGGAAGCCTTATTGCTCATAAACCTAAAAGAAAATGCCTTTTTACTCCAAAGTTGTTACTTAAATGTAATTTTTTGGCCTCTGCTTCTTCCTTGACCAAGGAGTTCAATTATACCTTACTTCACTGGTTTTGTTCTTTTCCCACCTCTTTTCTTTTAGGGAATGTTTTTTCCCAATCTTGAAAAGTCCGAGGCCTTTCATATCAAGACCTATAAAAACCTGAATTTGTTTGGTAACGCATGTGTTAATCATTATAATACATTGAATTTATATGGTCCATATTAAGTCATTTAATAAACTCTTCTGTATTAATGCAGGGAATAATCTTTATTAAAATACAATCATTGATTCAGAAGTACATGTATATTGTTATGTATCAGAAGTTAATGACTACTGTGTGGTATACCCCCACTGTATTATATCAATTGTTATCTCACCACACAAAGGACCACAATGCACTGTTATTGTTTGTTACTACACACAATGTATCATTCCAGTCTGACCATGGTTGATTATCATGGAAAGCTTTTAATGGAAAACCATTAATTAATTAAAGTGCTCATAGGCATCAAGGTCACTTGATTGAATTGACCCATAATCAACAATTGATATGATTATTGATAAAATCAATAAATAATTTCTGTTATTCAAATTGTTAATTCTGTGTATTTGTTGGCTTAAGTTTTGTTTAAGGGTAATCTTAGTTTACTTACTGTTCATTTTTTTCTTGCCAAACTTTCAAGATTGCTCTTGTATAATAAATATCTGGTGGAATTTCAATTTGTATTTCAGTGTTCAGTACTTAAATGCCCATCTTACTAAGATTGCTATTAGAATCAATGTTCATATTTTTTATTTCATATATCACTTTTTTATCAAGTAGATATGTTTACTGAATAGTAGTATGTGAAAAAGGGTTTTATAAGCAACTTTTATACATTTTTTTTTAATTCTACATATCTGAGGAAAAGAAACCAAAGAAATCTATAATCCAGCTTGGTTTTAAAGGCAGACATCAAGAGAAACCCTTCCTGATTTCAATTGACATTTCACAATTTTGTCTGAAGGGTTCCTATTTTTTCATCTATTTTTTTTACTGAATTTTATTAGATTTTTAAAACCACTGCAGTATGTTGTGCAGTGTCAAGAGCTATGCAAGAACAGCAGTATTTTGAATGAAGCCAAACTCAGGAGAATTGAATTAACCCAGAATAAATGTTTTTTAATTGTTTTTGTATATATTTATTGTTTTTAAAGAAAAAGTTGTTCTTTAAAATGTTTACAATTTTATTCCAACTTAGAATGATTAATTACTGTTAGTTTATATTGGTGAATAACTAATACTATATTTAAGATTTCTTTTATCTTGAAATTGAGAAAAGAATTGAAATCATTTGATATATAAAGATACAAATTAGACATAATAAATACTCATAAAAATATATAAATATATAACAATTCAGATAGCAGTTACTTATCATTGTATAAACACAGGTTTGTCAAATGATCGCAAATTTATTGTCATGTCATAAACAAATGAGAAACACAATTTAAATTAAGAATAAAACCAAAAAAAAAATCTTGATCCGTGCTTACCAATCTGTGATAATTATTGTTTATTGGTAAATTATTGATTAAATTATGTAAAATATTGTTTTGTTTTTACTAAGGCCTAACAAATCCAGTTTTAGGGCCCTATATGAATGGTATTGACAGCAGTTAATACATCAGTTATCATGCTTAAAAGTCTTTTGAACTTGCATGTAATATGGAGCAGAGCTACACGGACCTCTTATAAAACATTGGAGGTGGGATCAGGTGCCATGGAGGACCAGGCATTCCCACTGACCAGTCACGCCTTCCAGTTGCTTGTCATGCATGACCATGTAAATGGAAAAATCCACAGACAATGCTGTATAAAATGAGGCTTTTATGAAAAATGTCAATCAGTGCTTGACTGCATTTGCTGAGTGTTGACAATAGAATTTGCGAAATATTGATTTTAAACAAGAATGTGGATATCCTTGTTCTTATTTGTCAGTAGCTCTCTTCGATTCAGAAACAGTACGTCTTGCCTTTCGAATCAAACAGAGACATAAAGTCCATCTGCAGGTGATGATGGAATATTCGTAGATTCCTGTATAAATGAATGCTAAAACAGTAAGGCGGGATTATATAGTTTTTTTGCTTTGTTCATTTCTGAAGATTTTGCTTAAGTTCTCTTCCCAACATGCAAATGTACGATGTGAAGTGTAATGGTGTTTCGTAGATTACGTCCTCTGAGACGCCGAGGTGGACGTTTGATGGGTGTTACGACTTGAATCTTTAGACGGACGTGTTAGTTGGTACATAGAAGAGGAGTTGGATCTATTGCCTGAACCCTTGACAGCAGACGAGTAAAGTTTTAACACACGAGAATTACAGGAGAAGGAAATCATTAAAAACAAGCCTTGACATCCAGTAAATACTATAAATAGATAGGAGAAAATCTTCACGCGGAACCATTCGAAAAGGAATCCAAACGCCCAAGAGATCCCCGTTATGCTCGTCAGTTTGATAAAGATTAGAAAGTCGTCCCGATCACGATTTTTCCTTCCCTGGAGGTTAGGTCGTCTGTGGAAGAAAACGACGACGACTACAAACATAATAAAGTTTGACAATATGACAACGCCAAGAGGTAACGCAAAAACGTATCCAACCATATCCGAACTAGAAATCCAACAAATATTACCGCCATATCCTAGTCCAGCTTTCCTGAAATGACTGGTAATCACATTGATAATCACAAAGAAGAAGGAGCTAAGATAAACATAAGCTGTGTAGCTTAGGAATCTGGACTTGGTGTTAAGCTCTTGTGCAAAGGTTCGAGTAAAGACAGATACCATGTGGAAACACGACACATTCATCCAGTAAATGACGGAGAGCCAGAAGAAATGAATCAAGATGCCTAGACTTTTACAAACGATCGGGTAGTCAGTTTGAAACAAACCAAACTGGTACAGGAGGTGGGCAACTAAAAGGCTGAGAGAGAGCGCAAGAATCAACTTTCCCGGAAAAGTTCTTAAAGAACTAAACAATGTGAACGTCACTATAACATAGAAAAGACTCACGACAGAGATACATGTACTGGCAAGTGAAAGGACCCCCTCGACATCGTCACGGTCTAAAAGTGTGGACGTCTTCTTTAATGATAAATCATTCATCCTTTTCACGAATTTATCAATACACACTGAGTAGGTACCGTTTGTCTCCCTGAATTCCATCTGTTCAAAGCAGACATTCAGCTCCAAAACACAGAGCTCAAAAGTGTTCTTATTTAAAGTAGTGGTATAGTTTTCGAGTGTTATGAAAGGACAAATTAATAACCTCGAAACTCTGTTTGATAATGTATCACGGAAATCACTGGGAGGGATTAAATCATCATTACTGGTGTTTTTTTCTCGAAGGAGCTGTCCGTCATAAGGGAAGAAGTAGGTGCTTAAGTTGGAGAAATCACTGTAAGCCTGTCCCGTAAGAATTACAGCTTTTATTTCTCTAAAAACTTTCTTCAGATACTCAGCAGTTCCAAGAACATGGTGTATTTGTTGAGATGAATCATTTCCCCTGAATAACATGTGAAATATCGTGTGTGTAGAGATTGTGGAATTCTTAAAATCGACTTCGAAAAGTCTTTGGTACATCAAGTGAAAAGAGGATCCACTACTTAGATAATCTGTTATAAACGGTTGTACCAAGTCTGTTCGGAATGAGGCTTTGCTTGTTACAAGCAAAAATAATTCATATACGGTAATTCTATCTTCAAACACTTTGGAGCATGTTCTTGTTCTGCCGTCAAACGAGAAAGGAATGGAACATCTGGGACGAACGCACACATTCTACAAAAGAGAGGTTTGAGAAAGTAAGATACAGCCTGCCATAGGAATAAGGTAAGTTTGTTTTGTGATGTGTTTGATGCGCTGAGACCGTGATGATACGATTGCAAAAGTCACATGTAAATGCACAAAATTTCTGCTCTTACAATGACAAGAGGCATATAAACTACAATCGAAACAATGCTTTTGCTAATATCGCTACATTTGTCTTTTATTTTTCTACTGAAACATCCATGAACAGGGGTAAAAGGAATACTTCAGAGGTCAAACTGAATACCAAATAATATTCGTTTAGTTTTTAACAAAACATCACAACAAAACACAAATAAAAGTGACAAAGATGCTAAGAAATACAATTCATATTACCCTTAAAACATCTTTTATTTCGTTTTGTTGACATTGATTGTTGTCCAGGCTTTCAATGTCTTCATTCTGAACATATGAAGAGAATTGTAACATGGCGGTGAAGGCTCCCATTGTAAACCCTATTTCTGGTTGAAGATCTCTATGGGAACACTTCATAAATGGAGTATCTTCATTGTTACACATGTAACAGTGGACATTTCTGTACATAGTACGATATATATGTGTATAGGATGTGCACGCACGCTCAACAGTGGGGTCATAGTGACGCCATTTCCCTGTTACATTACATTCTCTGATAAACCCAATATCACATCTAAGATCAGTAACGAAACGCATTGCTTGTGGTGGCAAATAAAACAAAAGGTTACATCGTCTTTCTTCTTCAAGAGATTGTAAAAGATTCGAAACAGAGCTAGCGTACACTCCCGTGGCGTTGGGACAAGCGACTTGTCCTCGAAATGGTATGATATTAGAAATAGATACGTCATTACAGAGCGCACAGAAGCGGTTCCGATAGGCATTACCACTAGCAAATACCGGCAAAAACTTGTCAATTGATTTCAGTCCCACATTAGGTCTCTCACACAAATCTTTCATGTCCTTTCCAGCAAAATTGTGTTTACACATGGTCACCATTTTAATTTGAATTGTATTGTTGACCAAGGACCTTCCATACGGAAGATATTGTGGTATTATACAGTCTATGGAAGATTTTGGTGTTTCGATGTCCGCGCAGCAAGTACCCGTCTTGTAGCAGTCTTCAGTGCAGCTGCACTCCTTACAACAGGGACGGTATGGTAACATCTGCGAAAAATTCAAACGTGGGCGTGTCAGACATGGACTTGACATTGGACAAAACAGATAATCCTCCTGAAGAATTTTGTAGAGATCACTGGTTAGGTTAAGTTTATCCAGGGTCTGACGGACCTCAATACGGTCCTTATTTTGGGGGTATTTTTCTTCTAATCCATCTTCCGATGACCTGATTTTTCTCAACGGTGATTCTTTTTTCACATCTCGAATCTGAACAGCTCTAAGCTCTCTTTTATCACTGGGCAGTTCCGTTCTATTTGTTTTCTTTATCTTCCAACTAGAATTTTTGCCTATTTTAGCAAAAGTAACGCCAAAAACAGCAGTAATGAATACTATGTTGAAGTAGATTTCCATATTGTATATCCAGAACAATGAAGTTCGTCAGAATTGTTTGTGTGATCAAAGGTTCTGATTTATATCAAAGGCTCTGATTTATATAACTGAAAGTTATTAATTATTTAACACTGATGGCCGTTCTGTGCTAACAACTGCTGAAATGTCTCCACCGTTCTGACATAACGGTTTAATGTTATCCTAACTGTTTACTCTCAGAGAGTTAATGGTACCCGATGACGAAATGGCACTCTTATGGGAAATAAATTCTTTAGTACTTTTCATGAGAGAAAGCATTAAATAAACCATATTTAAAGAAAAAAAACTCTACCCTTTCTACAATATTACAATTAAACTGGGAGAGATCAGTTTTGAGATTTCAATAGATGTTCTCAGCACTATTCCAATCTAAAATTATCGTGTTATTTTATGATAGCAAACTTAGTTGTGTATGTTCAAAAATAACTATTTCACACCTACTCATCATAAGCCTTCTTTCTGACGATTCTTAATTCCGTAAGTATCTTTTTTTTTTTTATTTATATTAAATCAGAAATTATTTTTTATCACTGGATTATATGATGAACCAGTCATTTCTGTAAATTCTTTATTTTGTATATTTATTATTATATAATATTATTTTTTTTTTAGTCTCCTCAAATATATACGCCTCGTACTTTTGTCTTTTGGTAATTGATAAGTGAAAAATATGGAGATAACGAGCGGTGTTCAAGTTCAAAAGTCCATTAAACAAATGAGCAGAGGAATCGCAGACCCCAAAACGTCAGGGGTGGGATCAATATCTAAAAGCACTTTTGTTAACAGATTTTCATGTTCCGTGTATAAGAAGTGTTAGTTTCCAAGATTTTACATAAACGTTTCCCCTCGTGCACTTTTGGGGCTGGGGGGATAGGTGGGTCAAGGGAGTGCAGCCCCTGGGGGGATAGGTGGGTCAAGGGAGTGCAGCCCCTGTGGGGGGGATAGGGGTTCAAGAGAGTGCAGCCCCTGGAGGGGATAGCTGGGTCAATTCAGTACATATGTTGCATCATCTTTTACGGGGGTGTGTTTACATCATGTTTTTATACTATATACGCTGTTGCATCATCTACGATCTATTGCATCATCTTTTTTATACCTGTTGCATCATCTTTTTATACTATTGCATCATCTTTTTTGATACCTGTTGCATCATCTTATCATACCTGTTGCATCATCTTGCAAAAATTTGTTGGACTTATCTTTCTGTAAACTATCTAGTCAGCGAGCTTACCTATGCATTGTGACGTCATAAACTTGGCAGCGACGTCATGTTAGTCCTTCACAAGCCGCGATGGCTGCTTATTTTGACACAATAACACAGACTTTCACAGCGCTTGAGACTTCATGTAATAACAGTATGGTCCTATGGATTTCAGTACCAAAACTGATTTTCTACCGTTTTTCTTCCAAGAAAGTTCTGAACAGCTGAATCCTGGATCAGCCTAGATGTTATTTCACTGGATTATTTAATGAATATTACTCTACTGAGTTACCTGGTTACATGGTAAGTTTTAACAAACTTTTCTTTATACATTTTCTATGAAGGTCATCTTTGTATTTATTCATTATTACTGTGTTATATACCTTATGTTTAGAACATTCATATAAACACTGCCATTGTTTACCCTGAAATACACTAGGACACTAAAAGATCCTCAAAATGTTGATAAATCTTTTTTGCATGAGTTATGATCATATTGTCTCACATTCCTTTTATTGGATCAGTATTCTAAATATTCTTATGAGGAGACTCCTAGCATATCTTATAAAATACTGATACATGCTTTTAAAACAACTAAAGTGATATTCTCAGTTGTTATTTCTAATATTTCTATGAATCTTTAATCACAGTGACCAAAAGAAGGATATGGAGATAATCAATCAGATCATATTATGCCAATGAATCTTTTGTCTCAAATCTTTTTTAATGAAATATACAGAATCTTTTGCCTTATTTGTCACTCATATTTTTACATTCTGGTGCAACAGTGGCCCAATGAAAGTGGGAAAAACTCAGTCTGAGCATCTCTGTAAATCTATAAACATGTGTGCCCCCCCCCCTTTTTTTTTAAACCTTCATGTATATACATGTATGTATTTTATTTAGTCAGTGATTTCAAACATCAACATGTAAAATATATATTGAGTACTTTAAAAGTGAATATGCATGATTTGTACACCCTGAATATTCTGACATACTAATGGTGACATCAGTTAAAAGAGTAATTAGTTATGTAAAATTCAGTTTATATGAATGTAAATGGGGTATTTATTCTCAGTTCATGTAAGGTATAATTTGCATGTAACCCAGAGTGTATTTAATATTACTATGATGGGTCATTCTGTGATTGAATTTAAATCAGAAAAAATGTTTACTAAATTTTGGTAAAATACATATGGTATCTTTTACATTTCTGTCCTGTTTGTCTGTCAATTGTTGCTTTACTTCCTTTGTAAAATGAGGTTAATTTGTGTATCACTGAATATTGTATGCTTTTTTTCAGGATCAGCTAAGATGTTGTTTCACTGGATTATTTAATTGGGCATATAATTGGATAATTCTGGTAAGTTTGTCTTTGTTTTGTTTACATTTCCTATGAAGGTCATCTTTGCATTTAACCATGATTATATGGTTTAATTTAATTACTGTGTAATTCTTATGTGATCTAATATCTCTAACATTCATATAAGCACAGTCTTATTTTGTCTAAAATATACTAAGGAAACTTCATATTGTTAATAAGTCCTTTTGCATAAATTATGATATAATGTCATAATTCATTATGTCTGTTACCCATGGAATTCAGACTTACTAAATTGTGATCTATAAGGAATGTAATAAAAGAAAAAGTAAGAATCTACAAAAGGTTTATCCTTGTTTTGATTCTAAATATGTGGTATATATGGCATACATATATTTTCATTTTCACTTTTGTTTCTTGGTAATGAGCTTTTCAAAAAATGTAGGACTACATGTTGTATATGCTAATATCTTTTTGTATGCTGTACTGACAGGTATTAAACAAAATTGAATATGCTGTTAAGAGAAAGTCTGTTAGTGTCTAAAAATTACACTGATAATCATTTTGTATTTGTGATATTAATACAGTAACTGTGCTTCTTTTGTTATCTAAAGATAACATGATGAACTATTTTCATGAACTTTTTGGCACTGTATTTAAACATGCAATGTTTCATGCAGTTCCTTGTCATATTAACAAAATGATTATATTTTCTACAGTCCTCAACCTGGAAGATATGTTTTATTCCTAACCATCTATAATCCATTCTCTATGAAGTTCAGCCTGTCTGCCCAAATTCCTTTGGAAATACATAGTTAGTCAACCAACATAAAAAACAATCAAACTTGAAGGTAAAGTTTCAATGAGATATCATTTTAATTTATTTAATTCTGTTTTATTTAAATGTTTATATTTTAAAATGGATAAAAAAAAATGGATAAAAAACATCTGATAATGGAAATCAATATCATAAAGATAGTAAGTTTTTTAGTGTCTAAATAATTAATCTGATAATCATTTTATTTATGATATTAATACAGTAGTTGTGCTTGTTTATTATCTATAGATAACATGATGAACTTTTCTCATCTGGAGTTAATGTTAAAAACAATTTTTTGAGATTAAAAACAAATATTTTCATGATCTTTTTTGGCATTGTACATGTTGTATTTAAACATGCAATGTTTCATGCAGTACTCTGTCATATTAACAAAATGATTATATATTTCTACAGTCATCAACCTGGAAGATATGTTTTATTCCTAACCATCTTAAAATTCTCTATGAAGTTCAGCCTGTCTGCCCAAATTCCTTTGGAAATACATAGTTAGTCAACCAACATAGAAACAATCAAACTTGAAGGTAAAGTTTCAATGAGATACAATTGTAATTTTAATTTATTTAATTCTGTTTTATTTAAATGTTTATATTTTAAAATGGATAAAAAAATGGATAAAAAACATCTGATAATGGAAATCAATATCATAAAGATAGTAAGTTTTTTAGTGTCTAAATAATTAATCTGATAATCATTTTATTTATGATATTAATACAGTAGTTGTGCTTGTTTATTATCTATAGATAACATGATGAACTTTTCTCATCTGGAGTTAATGTTAAAAACAATTTTTTGAGATTAAAAACAAATATTTTCATGATCTTTTTTGGCATTGTACATGTTGTATTTAAACATGCATTGTTTCATGCAGTACTCTGTCATATTAACAAAATGGTTTTATTTCTACAGTCATCAACATGGAAGATATGTTTTGTTCCTAACCATCTGTAATCAATTCTCTATGAAGTTCAGACTGTCTGCTCTTCCTTTGGAAATACACAGTTAGTCAATCAACATAGAAACACACAAACTTGAAGGTAAAGTTTCAATGAGATTTATTTATTTATTTATTTACATATGCATTTTTATATTTTTGAATTGATAAGTAAATGATATATGATTTTTTTTTAAATAAAGAGGGCTTGGTGGTCATGGTCATGTTTAAACTCTATTGATATCCTTTAGAAGAAGAAGAAAAGGCATAAAAATTCATGATCAAATTTTTAAAACTAAAATGTATGAAATTTTTCTTTGCCAAATGATAGTTAACAGCTGAAGATAACATATTTATAGAATAAGTTAAATATGGCTAATTTGTTAACCCCCAGCTTCCTTAATAGCATAATTGGTAAAGATAGGAAGTTTTGACTTCAATTGCTGATGAATTCTGAATTTTCCATTTAATATTAACATTCTATCAAAGAGAAAGAATACTATAATGTGGCTCATTAGGATGACCAGAAAAGAAATCTTAATGACCCTCTTGACTATGTATAAAGATTGTAACCTTATAACTGATGTAAGATGATCTGATTGTGTGGAAATAAAATTTCCTGGTGTTTCTACTACCCAAGATCTTCTTATGAGTGTATGGGACTGCTGTAAACCTTCTCCTGTTTATAAAAATAATACCTTGGAGCATGACACTTTATTCATAAAAGGTACTTTCAATATCATTTCTATGAGTTTGTGTTCTTTCTTTTTAATAATCTAGTGTTATATCTCCTTTAACCTCATTAATATGTATGCTTCCAACATCTTAGATCTGTCTGTATAGTTTCTTCAGCTCTTTGAACACAAATACCCTGATTCAATCTTTTGAGGTAAACATCATAGAGACATCATAGATGATTATCAGAGTGTATATATCACAATCTTGACCATAAGGTCAATTTAAATGGTCAAAGGCACAACAAATGAAAGTGAAAACTTTTTTTTTTTTTTTTATCAGAATACATAATTTTGTAATAAACAAACACTGGAAAGTTACTCTCATAATGAGCCTTAATGTCTTCCAAGAGTTCAGTTTGGACTTCCTCCATTAATCCTTGTATCTTGTAATCCTTGTATCTCCAATGGTTTTGTGGGCTAAAAATCATGTGTCTTTAACAATCTTTTTTTTTTCTGACAACTGTTTTCTCTTATCATCTATAAACTTGACTTCTTCTCTAGTCAAAGGTCTTTCAGGGTAATCCAAGTAATTCTCACCCTCTTTTGGTAATAAATGGTTATATTCTTCATTGGCTTCTTCTGCAATCAAGGGTCTTTCTATGTAATCTCTGACAACATTAGGATCACCCTTTTCTGGACATAATTGGTTATATTCTTCTTGAGAAATGATCTCAATAGTGCCATCTTTTTTTATTTTAACTGGTATACCTCTGTCTACATCTTTCTCTGAAAGAATTCTCTCTCCGAACTGAATTTTACTCATTCCTTTACTCTTTTCTTTACTAGAGGTGTTACCCATGGTTAATATGAAAAGTCAAAATCTTATGTTACAACTTGTTTTTATACCCTTTTTGTCTATATGTAGAATTCCATCAAGCTTATATTACATTACAATTTTTTTTTTTTTCAACTAAGATATTTTTTTTTTATTTTTTCAGGATTCTCTAGTGAGAGGTTATGGAAATGATCTATGTCTACTCTTAGAATGGTGAAAGACTCTCAGATTATGCAAAGACTAACAGAATATCCTCTCTTGGAACACTGAAACAAGAAAACCAAACTTAAGAGGATGGAGGATTTAAGAAGAACATAAATATGATTTCCATCGAATTTAACCAGTACGATCATAGACTGTGGTTTATACAGGATGACAAAGAAAGGACCCAGGATTGTATGTTTCACTGTCAGACACTGACTATGGATAAAGTGTAATCATTTATCAAACTGAGATCTAGTCAAATCAAGTATTGAAAATATGATTTTCTGATAGCATGAGCTCTTTAAAAACTATTTCTCACGGACCTCAAAGTATCTGAATGTGACTTTTATTTTTACCAATTCATATTGAAGACTGTTGTTATGTATGGGAATTACACATTTAAACCTTTTATTTTTCATCTAATTTTTACAACCCCCTAGAAATTACACAGATATCCAGATGCTGGATTTAATGGTATTATTTAACTTTCCTGGAATTGTAAATATATTTTGTTTGTGTATGTATCATGTTTAATTTTGAATTTAAAATTTGTCTCAATAGGACCCCCATAAAGATGTAAGTGTCCCATAATCTGTGATGCAATAATATCTTGAATATTTGTTGTCATCCCATATACTTCATACTTACTACATAAAGACTGATTGGAGGAATACACTTTGTTGTTTGGGACACTTTATCAAGGTCAAAGCATGAGATTATTGAGAAGACTACTTTGACAATAATTTGTAACTTACAAACTTCACATCATAAGTACATAAATGAAGAATGAATAGGATGAATAAGAGATTTCTTAAGAAATCTTGGATCATGTTTCTCCTGAATAAAAACCAGTTACTGAGATAACTGATATGAGTCTTGCAATAACTTCAACATTTTGTAATAAGTATAGAAAATATGATTTTCTGATAGCATGGGCTCTTTAAAAATTAATTCTCACGGACTTCAGAGTATTTAAATGTGACTTTTATTTTTTGCCAATTCATATTGAAGACAGTTGTTATGTATGAGAAGTATACATTTAAACCTTTTATTTTGCATCTTATTTCTATAACCCCCTAGAAATTACACAGATATTCAGATGCTAGATTTAATGTAATTATTACTTTCCTGGAATTGTAAATATATTGTATTTGTGTATATATGTATGTGTATTGTACCCTATTTTTAAATTTAAAACTTGAAATATGATAAAGGTCCCTTAGTATCCCACATCAAGATGCAGTTACCCAGTAATCTGTGATGCAATATCTTGAATATTTTTATCATCTCATATACTTCATGCTTACTACACATAACAGCTTATAGTAATACACATAGTTTTAAAGGACACATTTGTCAAGGTCAAAGCATGCGATTATTGAGATAACTACTTTTGAAAATAATTTGTAACCTACAAACTTCACATCATAAGTTAAGAATGAATCGGAGATTTTCTATAGATTTTAAGATCATTTTTCTTCTGGGTAAAAGTCAGTTGGTAAGATTACTAATATGAGCTTTGTAATGTTGAAACTTTAACATTTTGTTATAACCTAGAGACTTTATATCTGTTATATTGGGTGACATGGCATATTCTTTGGAAAGAATTGGAAATGTAAATCAAATGCACAACAAGGATGTTTAAAGACTATTACTATGTAATACCTAAGAATTCTGTAAAAAATCTTATTATCACTGCATAGATAAAGACTGGTTGGAATAATATAAGTTTTGAACTAAGGTCAAGGGGAAAAACCCATTCATAAATAGATCTGCATGGGGAAGACTCCTCTAGATCTTCATTCAAAAGTAAAGAAAGTATTTTTTTTTTAAGTTTGAAAGATTGAATGGCAGCATATCATTTGCTTATGAATTTAAAATGAATCCAAACATATACATCTTTAGATGATAACTGTAGAATTTTTTCAATTCCTGGACTTTCTGTCTTGATATTTTCCTTTATTTTCTGTAAAATTTAATGATTGTCTTTTTTAGTTTAGTTGCATTAGTTTCTTTTTGGCATGTAAAAATGACATCATCCAATTTGAAAGAAGTTCATCTACATTTTATATTTAGGAGAGAATTTTTCATCAAAGGTTTCATTTTTGTTTATATGGAATGCTAAGTTCTGTTGATTTCCCTTTTTCCTACTAAAGACATACCAGTAGAGTAGTAAATGTACATGATGTGTCAGCAAAGCATGCGGAAACCTGATGACTTTATCATTTCTGATTAAATCAAATTATGAGTTTCATCTTTGTTACATTGTAATAATTCCTAAATAGGACACACACCAGAAACTCTTAAAATGATCTCTACTGTTTTAACTGAGCATCAGGCTTT